GGGGGGGCGGGTGTTGTTGGACTAGATGGCCTTTGAAGGTCCCTTCCAACCTAAACCATTCTATGAGTCTATGAAAGGTATTTTTGTTGCAAAATGGCGTGTTCTTGAAGCAAGATCCTGTAAAATGTCACTGAACATTTTATGTGAAAGAGGGCAACAGGACAGAAGTTTATCTACTAGGCTGTCAAATAAAAGCTGAAGGTGCATGGCAAAATGAGTTACATTTCACTGATAAACAGCACTGAGGATTTATAAACAATAGTTAATAAATTCTTTTTTTTTTTTTTTAAGGTCTTACCTGATTTTTTTACAGCTATGTATGGTATTTAACAGTATTTTTAATATTTGAGTAATAACAGAAACTGATTCTCTCAAATATATTCTTCCATCAACTACTTTTGTCTTGCTTTGCCTCATACCATTTCAACATTATTGACTAAATATATCTGGCCAAGATAATCTTATATTTCTGTTTTTACACAGTAGTTGTTTCAATAACAGATATGCCACTTTTGCAAAACTCAATAGAGAACTAAGCTTTTGCCAAACTTTTTCACCAATATACCATGGCTTTGGTAAACTGTGTGATTATAGACCTTTCAGATTGACCATATTCTGCTACAGTTCAGCAAAAAAGTATTACAACAGACTTTTAAAATATTCCCAGCAATTATCATAAGTATTGTTAATTGTCTCAGATGTGTATAGTCAGTATATGTACTATATTGTATATAATCAATGGAATCTGCATTGTACACTATTGGCTTTAAAATTTATTTCTTTTGCTTCTTTTATGTGAATGGAGGTAGAGAACTGTGTGTTGTCTTTTAGTTTTAAAACAGACCAAACCACTTGAGCCTACACTGTTTATGCTTCAGGTTCAGTCCAGACAGACTACAGCTGAACATTGAATAGAAAAAATCTCATTAAAAGAGCACTTTCCCTCCCCCTTTACGTTTCCTTCAGGATATCTATCAGCTCTGTGCAGCAGTCTGTGTGGCTTCACTACCTATATCACAAGAACAACTTTTATTAAATTCTACTTTGGCACTTGAGCTTCAAGACCCAGCATGAAAATGAACGCAGAGGTAGAAATATTGCTTGGTCACACATTCCAAAAGCTTAGCTCAGTTTTATTTGAAAGTAAATATTAAAAATCACCAGGGCTTTCGAAGGCAGAGATCCTACCTTTCAAATCCTACCTCTTCCATACATGGTTGCTACATCTAGTTCTGTTCCTTTGGGGCAAACCAAACTAGAACCAGAAGTGGCTGCTCTTCTTCCTGTTGTGTTCTCTGGCATTTTAAAACTGATTCTTAACAGGGATTTTAAACAGAGAGCTGGTATTATATACCTACCATTTTGGTTAAACAATTATTTTTCCTAATCAATATTGAAGTGCATCTAATTATTGGGATGGCAAGCAGATGATGCTCTGTATAGACCATCCTGGTTCAGCCTGAAACAGATGAAAACAGGTAAAAACCAGATAAAAACGGGTGAAATTGTAATTCTGAAAGTCACCAAGATGCAATGCAGATGGTAAAAATTTCTGTACCAGGTCCTGACCATATCAGAATGTCAGAAAGTATAGAAGCTTTAGATGTTTCTGTCTAGCTCTGAAGTGTGGTGCCTAAAGTATTTCATGCTAGAGAAATCAAGCTAAAGGCCCAGTCATTTCATTGGTTGAATTGAGCAGCAGTCAAGTAGAAAATTAAAATAAGCAAAGTTTGAGCATCCTGGTGAGGTCAGGTACTATTTGGGTCAAGTTCAAATTTCAACATATTCACTATTAATTTTTATTTCAGGTAATTCAGACTATCACTGCAACTGACAAAGATAACTCTGCAAATGGGGCAAGATTCCATTTTTCCCTTGATGAAGGGCTTTCTTTGAATCCCAACTTTACTCTAAGGGACAATGAAGGTAAATCAAACGCATAAATCTCAAGGAAATGGATCTTTGTTTTGTCTGGGATGTCTCACTGAACAGAACATTTTCCATGCGTTTCTTGACAGAAGGGGGAAACTGTAATCTGTTATCACTGAACTGGCTGATATCAAGGATGTGGTGTATACAAATTGCAAGCTGCGAATAATCAAATACTGCATTTTATTTTTATCTTCCATTTTATTGTAGCATTTGTACTTTATAAATTCAGGATGTTTTTAAAAAGTGGGTTAATGAAAAGATGTTGGCAATTCGGTCTGTTTCTAGGTGAATAGCACTGAGTGGGTATTGTCAAGGTTATTGAAGGTTATCGCTTAAAGAAGAAAATAAGAATTTAAGGGGCATAAAAAGTTGAATTCATGCTTACTTTTACGGATACGATACCAAGAGCAGGTCCTTCAGTGCTTCCTGGATGATAGTCTTATCGCTTCATGCCCTTCCAAACAAAGTGTGCCTAAAAAGTATGATCAGAATTTCATAGCAGATAGGCCCAGAAAGGGCCTTCAGAGCCACCCAGCCAAATGTTTCTTAACATTTCTTGAATCAAAGAACCATCCAGCCTTTCAAAAAACCAAAACTCTAATCAGCCTTACTAAGCCTTACTATTTGTTGAGTATTGCTGCATGGTTTCCACTTTGCAACCTGATGAAAATGAGAGTGAACTTTAAATGCTTGTCTGGAGCTTTCCTTGTGAGCTTTTGTGTATGTGTGTATTGTGTGGGTTTGTTTGTATGCATATGTAGAAGCGTGGGGGGGTTGGCTTTATTTTACAGTTATATTTTTGCAGTAGTGCCATGGAACACCTTCTGAAATCTTACAGATCGCTACTCATCTGTATTGACTGAGAAGCATTAACTCCGTCATTGGTACATATGGTATATGCACTGATGTTTACTGTTTGTAAAACCTTTCAGGGAAGAAGACTGCATAATCTTCCTACAGAATCTGTTCCAATGTTTAACTATACTTAGAGCAGAAAGAAAAAAATCAAATCACGCTATTTGTTCAGACTAGATTAATGGCCTTCATATACTGGTTCCAAAAGACATCAATCCAGTATCTATCCATATTAAAAAAACCTTATAATACTTGAAGGACTAATTCATATATTAAAGGTTTTACCTAAGTGATGACTCCAGCCCTTTCCCAGATTAGTGTGTCAATTCCACTCAGATTGTGATGAAGCATTATGGCAAAAGCCAGAGGGTTCTTCCCGAAATAAAGGAAGTGCACTGGGGTGCATTTTTGTATTTGAGTTTAAGATTCAAACAAACTCATTGAGTTTGTGGGAGACCATGGCCATGTTGTTCATTATATTTTTATTTCAGACAAGGAGATACAAGAGGTAAATATGCACTTCCTGTAGCACCTTGCATATAAACCTTCTACATGTACAGAGACTCCAGAAGTGCCATTTCCAATTTGCCCATATAATTAAGACAATAACAGTTTAGCTCAAATCATAACAAGAAATATATCTTAGAAAGAAAAGCATTGTCACTACTTTGCTCGGTGCATGACTCTGATTGTACTGTTTAACACTTCCTTTATTGGGACCTTCTCTTTGTGATACAATGTATATGTAAAATATCAGTGAAACGTTTATAAAGTGCATTCACAATATCCAGATATCTAGCATCTACAACTTGCATATTTATACCTGTTCCTATTCAGAAATGGAATTTCTGTTGCTTTCTATTGTAGGAAATAGCAGAGACATGGCAGGCCGAAGAGGCTTTTCTTACGTTTGCGACAAGTTTTCACTTTTGAAAACTCATGTTTTTGAGCATCAGCTGTTAAAAAGAATCAGAATGTTCTTAAGATAGCTGCTATTTTTACTTCTGGATTTAGTTATTCTATAAAGGCTGGCATTCTTTGAGGGTTTTATTTGTCTGTTTGTTATGTTCTTTAAAGAAAAAAACCAACAGCAATTGCCTTAAGAGAGTTTTCAATAATGTTTTGAAGAATGATAAAAACCAAAATCTCGAGGTCACATTGAAAGTGTAGTCATTGGTAGCTGTATCTGTTGCTGCAAAGCTGTATTTCTTTTGCAGTCGTCTTTAGATCCCGTCATCCGCTCCTTTTATTTCTTCAGGACAAAGGTTTAATTTCACAAAAATCTCAGTAGACATTTTTTCCCCTTGTTTTCATAACCCAGAACAACGGAATTCTGCTTTTTGAGCCCAAACGCACTATTGCATAAATGTTCCCTTACTCCATTATCATCAGTAGAGCTATAAAATCAAAAGACTCCACAGTAGTGAATTGGATCTTTAAATATTATGCTTGTATCTTTGCACTTTGACTGAAATCTAGAGGACTTGCACAAGCATAAGATTTTGTAGTTTGTCCCTACCTACCTGTATAAACTGCAGCAATCTACAGTCTCAGCATGTGTATGATTCAGGTCAATAATATCTATGGCTTCAGCAGAGGAAATAGACATTAAAGTGTCAGTCCAGATAATTGGATCATCTCTTGGGCCTTTACTCGGTAACAATCCACAATGTTAAAGCCTTTGAGCATGCACCCTCATAATGCAGAGCTTAAAACCCTCAGGGAAGTGTAGGTCAGGAGACAACCACAGAGCCGTACCACATATGCAGTCCAGCAGAACCTAAGAGTTGCTTGGATCACCTTCTGGATGCTGTTTGTGTTTACAATTTTCATTTTAATGGAAAAAATGGAAGAGATGGAATATGATGCCTTTTTCTGTACTGACTGGATTCTTAAGCTACAGTAGGTTCTTTGTTGCTATTTGCCTTTTTTTTATACTGTCAAAGTACTATTCAGAGAGTAAAGGCGTACGCGTGTGAACAGCCAACGAAATGATGCAGTATCTGTAGACATGTTAAGCAAGACAGAACAAGAGCTGCAATAGAATTTCTTTGCTATACAAAGAAAGAACATTAATTTGTAATTGTTTCCTGCAATTTTAGAGAGCAAACCCAGCATAGATGCCTTTTTGTTTACCGGGGAATTGTACTTATGAAGGCTTTTCAATAAAACAGGGCTGTTTACAATTTATTCTGTCCATAAAAATGTTGCAATTTCTACTAAAACCTGAGCTAAATAGTTTTTTATTCTGGAAGGGCTTTTATGTTGTAGTTCAGATGCTGCCTAACTCAGTTCATTGTTGTCTGTGTTCTTCTTACTTTGTTTTTTAGAACGTTATCACAGCTAATTTTTAAATCCTTTTTTCACCTGTGTGTAATATTGCAAATTTACACTTTTTGCCTAATCAGCCTTTGGATGTCCCAGTAAAAATTTGCCAGGGCAATATGAGACTAAAACCACCTTCTGTTGAGGAATCAGGGGGAAGATGAAAGAACTTCTTCACAATAGAGCTGTTTCTAAGTACTGAATTTTAAAATTGTCCTTTTTTTTCCTGAAAGAATCGTAATATTTTCCCAGATGCTTAAAGAATGGTTGATACATTTGTCAAAATGTGTTAGTTTGATGGAAAATGCATGTGAGCATATGTCATTGTTATGATATCCCCAACCGTTATTATATAGACACATACATTTGCTTAGCCTGTCTCTCTGAGTTTAAAAAAAACATTCCCTCTTTCTGCCTATTTTGTTACCGATGAGAGACCTCTTTCAGAAGCTACAACAATTTTCAAGGAGCTGGCAAAAGATCGATCCCTCAGAGAAGAGTTCACTTAGGTGCAAAAGAACATTTATGAATTTTATGCACTGTAAAGTAGTTTTGCCAGTGATATTTTTGTCACAAGATATACAGTCTACCATGGATGCCTCGATGGGCATTGTAAATTTCCTGGACAATAAGGGTGTGTGCAGAGACTGTGCACTTTCAGCCAACACTGCCAATAAGATTTGTACATTCTCTTACTTTAATAAATTTAAACTGCCAACTTCTGAAAGCAGACAAAGTTTACCTTACTTTCAAGGAAGAACAACTCCCTAGAGAACGCTTTGCATTTGTTCTGCCCTCCTTTTCTTTCTTCAGGACAAAGGTTTCATTTTACAAAATATTTGCAGTTTTATTTTTCCCCTCTGCACACTCTTTTCAAAATCTGGGCTTTTGAAAATTGCCCAGTGATAGAGAATATTCTCGAGTTGGAGCAAAGGTAGGCCATTTTTCTGATACTATCCCTTTGGAGATTTGTTTTCCTTAATGTTATGCCACAAGATACTTTAATACCCACAGAAGCAGAGACCTGCTTTTCTATAAAATCTGGAGCACAATGAGTTCAATGGCATCTGTATAAAATGAAATTTGTAATGTGTTCATCCACCCATGCCTGTGATGCAAATTAACATTTTTCCTGTGTCACAGATCATAAATGAGTATAAAAAAGATCAGTTTTACTTGGCATTGCTGTTATTTAGGGCAAAAGCAACCTCCAGAGAGTCATTAATCCCATCCCAGCATAAATTCCCTTGCAGAAGTTTCTGTTTATCTCTTTTCCCTGATATGTGCAAAATTCTTATCTCCAACAATATTGCACAAGACATCTGTAGCAGGCCAGTGAACTGACTTTAGGGCTTTAAAGTTGCAAATAAGCATGCCAGGTACCAGACCATGTCTTAATTACTCTGAAGTGTCTGAAGTGGCATTAAAAAAGGTCAGGTTGAAACCCGCACTTTGCGACCCAACTTGAGCAGGAAACAGCTACCTAGTTCCTGCCTTCATGTACCTCAAAGTGGCAGGCTTGCTGTGGTTATGTAGTATTCCAAGTTACTACTGCCCTTCCATGAAATATCATCTTGTAAAGATGACAAGTTGTAACTTGAGAGAAATGGTACCTGAGAAAGTGCAAAGTCAGCACTGTACAGGGGGACTGCGTGTACAGTCCATTGCAGGGCTGTTACTGCAAACAGGTTGGTTGCCTGAGCAGGTATTATCACCAAATCAACATATGAAAGTGAAAAAGGAATTCCACCACCAGTGTGAAGGACAGAAATCTAGGACTAGCTGCCACAGAGGGAGACATTTTTCTTCCTCAG